CACACACATACATATATTTGGAGAACAGTGGCTACACACACTGTTTGTAGTACTGGACTACAAACCATAAGGTTAATGGTTCAAGCCCACTAAACTCCTCTGTGACAAATAAATGAAGCTTTCTGCTTCCACCAAGATTTAAAGCCTTGAAAACCCTATACAGGGTCTCTATGAGTCAGAACTGACTGGACAGCACTTAACAACAACATAAATGAATTGTTTCCTGCAAGTGCTGACTCATAGCGACCCTGTATAGGATTCCCAAGGAAGGGCTGGGGGTGTAAATTGTCGACTTTAGGGTTAGCAGTGCAATGCTTATCCTACAGTGCCACACCAGGACTACACACACCCATACTTGTTAAGTGTCATCGAGTCAGTTCTGACTAATAGCAACACTGAAGAGGGTTTCTGAGGAGTGGTTGGTGTGTTTAAACTCCGACCTTTTGCTTAGCAGTTCCGTGCTTATCTTACAGCACCACATTTAAATCTACTAATTGTCCAGGACATATTGGTGAGTTTCAGAGAAGTTACAGTCTGCTTATTAGGTGTGGCATTGTAGGATGATTACTGAGTTGCAAGATCGGTTTGTTGGAGCCATGTCTGACTGCTGCTGGCTTCACAAGGGGGAAGGAGAATCAAACTCAATATCAGTCCAAGCTGATTCCTATGAATCAGCCGTGCCTTCCCCATGCAACTTTCTTTACCTTCTTCTCAGACCAACCACCCCTCGCGCAGCACTGTCTGCTTCACATCTAGATTTGATAGTCCACAGCAGTAGCCACACAGAACTCAATTATGGGGTTTATTAGGGAAGTGAACAGGGTACAATTCAGCATCAAAACCAAGTCAAGATGCAGCAGTTTTCCAGTTAGGAATGCCTCTTGTCTACGATACTGCACACATGCCTCATTTTTGTCTTCAGCCTCTCAGCCTTGTGATCCCACAGCCCCAGCCCGGATCAGGCAAATGTTACCAAGCTCCTTTAGTCAGTCTGTAAGTGTCCAAAGGGCACATTCTGCAAGCCAGCCTCCTAACCCCTAGGCACACAGTTTTATTCAGTATATGGACCTAGATGCCTACAGCTAGCTATTCCAAGTTACCACCTCTGCTGCCGCAGCTTTTCTAGGTAGGGATCTAAGCAGTTCAAACCGATCTTATCATCAAGGACTTTGCATAATACACACAGACATATATATATGTATGTATCGTTGTTGTGAAGTACCATCGAGTCGATTCCGAGCCATAGCGACCCTGTATGGGGTTTCCGAGGAGCAGCTGGTGAGCATGAACCACCAACCTTGCAGTTCAAACTAGCTTTGCAGTCTGGTGCATTAACCCACAGCGCCACACCAGGACTCTTAAGTATGTATATGTATTATTATATTGGAGTCCTGGCGTGGCACTGTAGGATAAGCACCAAACCACAAGGCCAATTTGAACTGCAAGGTTGGTAGTTAAAAATTCACCAGCCACTCCCTGGAAACTCTATACAGGGTTGCTATGGGTTGGAACACACTCGACAGCACTAACAACAATATAAATATATATACAGCTCTGTGACTCCATATGATAAGTACTGCACTGCAAATGGTACTTAAAAAGATGTATGTATCTTTTATATACGATAGATCCTAATAAGTATACTATTTTATAACTTCTTTGAAACTCAATGTTATGTCATGAACAGTTTGTCATTAGATTTATATCATTAATTTTTAACACTACATTGAACAATTCATTGTTTAATTCATTATTTCATTATTTAATTGACTAATGCTTTTCTGTGTTGTTGTTGTTAAAGTTCTATCAAGTTGGTTCCAACTCAGTGATCCTGTATATGGTTTTTAAAGAGCTTCTGGTGGGTTTGAACCACCACTTTATGGTTCAACCCGACCTTGTGATTCAGTGTTTATCCTTCAGCACCACACCAGGACTCTGCTTTTCTGTATACATTTCATTTTTTTGGTTTTCCACTGATGTTGGAGCTTCAGCGAATGAATATTCTTATACGCAGCTCTTTCTATACTTCTGATAATTTCCTAAGCTAAATTTATATTCTAAAATTAGTCTTAATAGGTCAGAAGTATGCTTCCCTTCTCCCTTGGCAAATTGTGTTTTAGAAAAGTTATGCACTCTTACCACTACTTTAAGAATGTATATGTCTCTTAGGTTTCTGGGTGTCACAAATGGTTTGTACTCGACTACTTACCAAAAGGTTGGTGGTTCAAACCCACTTAGCTGTGCCACCAAAGAAAGGTATGAGAACTTGTTTTCATAAAGATTCCAGCAAAGAAAACCCTCTGGAACTCAGTTCTAATATGTGCTCTATAGAGTGTGGGGTCACGATGAGTCCAGATTGACTGGACAGCAATGGATTTGGTTTTTTGGTTTGATATTTCTGTTAGTTATTATTTGGTCTTTGCTAATCAAATAAATGAAAAGTAGTTTAATTTCCATTCTTTTGTTTTCTAATGAGATCAGGTTTTTGTTTTGTTTTGTTTTGAATTTGTGTTTGCTGTTAAGTACTGTCCAGTCAGTTCCAACTCATAACCACCTTGTATAGGGTTTCCAAGGAGCAGCTGGTAGGTTAAAACAGTGAACCTTTTGGTTAGCAATCAAGTGATTATCCTACAGTGCCTTAACAGGATTCCTTAACTTATATATTGGCCTTTTAATTTTCTTTAGCGATCTATTTCTTGTCCATTTTTAAATTGTTTTTCTGGGGTATTTATCCCTTCTTTAAAGAGTAGTTAAGTACTTGGTTACTGACTGAAAACTGGACATTTGGAATCCACACAGCTGATCTGCAACGGAGGACCCAAGGATGTAGTCTGTAAAGATTATAATGAAGAAAGCTCAATAGGGCAATACTGTTCTGTCACATGGGGTCGCTAAATGTCAGAATCAACTGAAGACACCAAACAGTATCATCTCTTTTATAATGACTATAAAATTCTGTCATGTGTTTTCAATATTTTTTTTGTTTAGCTATTGTTTGTTCTTTGTGATGCATAATTTGGTTTTGAACTATCAAACTTTTATATTTTTATGTGGTGAAATGATTTCCCACTATATTGCTACTAAAAAGTATAATGTAGATTGATGTTATGTAACTTGAAGTATAATGTTTAGTAAATTCTGATCTTGGTAAATGTACTGGATGGATTACAAATTAATTTTATGATTGTAAAGGTAAGGGTAAGTTTTAATTAAGTAAGTTTGGTGGATGTCTGTGTATAAGTCAAAAAACCCACTCTCATTGAGTTTGATTCTAACTCACAGTGACCTTGTTAAGGTTTTTTAAGGCTATGTATATTTACTGGAGCAGAAAGCCTCATCTTTCTCCCAAAGAGCACTGGGGGTGAAGGGTGGGGTTTGAACTGCATCAGTCCAGTGCTTATTCTGCAGTGCCACCAGGGGTCCTTATATGTGTATATATCTGTCTATAAGATAAGCACTGAACTGAGAACCATGAAGCCCCTGGATTGAACCTGCTAGCAGCTCTGTCGGAGAAAGGTGAACGTTTTCTGCTTCGACGAAGATTTGAAGTCTCAGAAATCCGGTACAGGGTCACTATGAGTTGGAACCAACTTGTGTGTGTGCACACTTTTATACCTCTTTTTTTGGACAATTCTATTCACAGGTTTTAAACAAAAATGGAATGGTTGAGTTTTCTGTGACAAGTAATGAGACCATCACGGTCTCCCCAGAATATGTTGGTTCTCGACTGCTGTTGAAATTAAAGAAAATGGCAGAAGAATATCTTGGAATGCCAGTGGCCAATGCTGTCATTTCTGTCCCAGCAGAATTTGATCTGCAACAGAGGAATTCAACAATTGAAGCTGCTAGTCTTGCAGGTAATATTACCCTTGCATGTGTTGCCTTTTTTGCTTATTTCAAAATATTTGGTTGAAAATGTTCTGTAGTAAATTACATTTATTATATTGTATGACACCTAACTAACTCTAGGCCCCTATGTATGGTAGGTAAAGTAGATGGATTTTGATACAGGGTTACAAATGGTCATTTTAAAATGCTATGTATCACAATGGAACATGTTTATATAATGACAGCAACCAATTAGGCATTACATAGGCATGTGGACAAAGACTGAGCGAAATCATGGACATGTGGTAGCAATTAGGAATTTCTTGCTCCTAAGCTTTTTGTACTTTTAAAGTAAATATAATGTTTAAAATAATCTGAAATAGGGGAGAATTCATTTAGGATAATTTAATAAATATATAAACTACTTTTGGGAAACAGAAAATAAACATAAAAGAAAAGAAAAGTATGTTGCCGGGTTTCCCACCCTCAGCATTTCTGACATTTTGGCTGGATAATTCTGTGTTATGGGGGATTCTCTTGTATATTACAGAATGTTTGACAGTATACCTGGCCTCTGTCATTAGCACTTTCCCAACAAGTGGCAACGATAAGAAATTTCTTTACATACTGAAAAAGTCACCTTTATAAACAACATAATTTGTTAGACAGAACCCATAATCAGTTCATGTCCGAAAATAACATGCTATGAGAAGAAAACAACAAAGAGGCAGAATTCTGGCCTTTAGAGGCTGGGAGCTTTGCAGATTGTAAATAGGATAGACAAGTAGGACACTTTGACAGAATGACATTTAAGCAGATTTGAAGCAAGTGAGGTAGCTAGCCACACAGTAGTTATATGGAAAACCACTTGCTATAAAATGAGAATATGCTGGTAGCTATGAGGATAGGGAACTGGGTCACAGCACACAACCACCACCCCACCATGAGGATAGAAAGGAGGTCGGGGAGGCTGGAGCAGCGTGAATAATGAAGTCTGAATACTTAGGGAGAGGAGTAATTATGGTCTTTGGATAAATTCCTTCAAGTATGAAACAGTGCTTATGGCTCCTGATTCATAATTCCTTATTACTTTCCAGACTACTCTTTAAGTGTAGCAGGTAGTTGAATGCAAGAAGTTTATTCGTGAAACCAATCCAAAACCCATGCATCTAGCAATCATCTGTAGGTAATATACAATGGAGAACCATTTCTATAGGAAATAGATTATTAGACATAGAAGTATATAGCAGGATGTTGTGATGTTCTAATGGTGTTCCAAAAATAATCTTCAATGGCAACTTGCTGGTGACAGTGTTAGTCATCATTATTATTTTTTTTTTCCCCCACCAAATGATGTAATTTACCACTAGGTAGTCATGTTTGTCATCCTCTGTTTAATTTTAGTTAGAGTTGACTGACTGAGGACTCTTGCAATTCTTGTGTGTAAAGTATTATAAAGCACTGTCACTGGTTGTACGAACATTTAAATCAAATGACCCAAATTCTGTGATGCTTTATGAATTAGTTATACTTGTTTTACTTGATATTTTCCAATGAATGCTTTCGGAGCTATGTTTGGGAAAACAAACCTTCAAAACTGACCTTTGTTTATACATTTATCATTATCTTCAAAGTCAGATTTGCTGTAAATTTTATAGTTGTCTTTGAGCATCTTGTATTTTAAGTACTTTTTAAGAGTGTCATTTAGCTATTGGAGCATCTTTTTCTTTTTATAATTATTTCCATGTATCCATCCATTCCTTATTTTTATCTGAAAATCATTTTAAAAGCAGAGTAAGCTTGTCCCACACTCACAGCAGTTAATCATAGTATAGAGTAATTAAAAGTTTTATTGCTCATTTAATCTCAGGTAGAATGTGAAAATTTTAAAAGGCTGAGAGATCTTTAAAAATTAAATTTTAATTAATAAAGAATAGAGTGACTTATTCCAATGAACCCTGGCCTTTATTTCTTTATATTATAATCTGTTGGAATCATATTAATGAAACATTTTAGAAGCATCTATATTTATCCTTCCCTGTTTGTTATTTTCATTGGGTTCATGCTGTCCTTATTACTGCTCATAAGTGTTTATACTATGGAAAATACTAACATCCTATGAGATTAAGTCGAAAGTAATTTCTTTATGGCATGCTCTCATGAGTTGCTTTTCCCTCTAACAGGACTGAAGATCTTGAGAGTAATAAATGAACCCACAGCAGCTGCTATGGCCTATGGTCTCCACAAGGTTGAGGTCTTTCACGTCTTAGTAATAGATTTAGGAGGAGGAACACTAGATGTGTCATTACTGAATAAACAAGGAGGAATGTTTCTAACCCGAGCCATGTCTGGTAAGAAAACTATGAGGAATGTTAAAGAGATCCAGGCAATGCTTTCTGTGACATATACAATGTATAAAGAGTTCATTTTTTCCCCCCGTAAATTCTTTAACTTCATTTTGGTAATATTCTGTGTATGTAATTTTATACCACCATGTATATATACATTTACAGCAAAAGATTAAGTCTCAAAAATGACTGGGAATTCTGTAAAGAAAATAAATAATACTGCCAAGTATAACAACTGAGCGAGCCAGAAGAACTGTTCATGAGTATGGTAAAGAGAACAGAGGGAGAGAAAAATCCTTTAAAGTGACAGAGTCTCAGTTTGTTTCATTTGATAATCTATCCTGGAAGATGGTTATCTTTGGAAAATCTAATAATAATGTGCTCTAGGAAAGATAAGATTTTGCATTCTAAATCGTTTTATAGGTGTTTTAAAAAGAAATGAAGAATGTTTGAGAAGTTGTTATAAGTTCTAGGTATCTAATATCTGCATCTTTGCTTTCCCCAACTGGACTATCTTTAGGACCAAGTTCAGTGCTAGAGATTTACACCCCTTTACACTTTGAGGTTATTTTGTCTACTTTTAAACTCTTATTCACACAAAGAAGGCTTCAAAAAGTTTGTGGAAAAATTCCATTGTCTTTTAATTCCATTTTTCCACAAGTTTTTAAAGACTATAAGTAATTATAGTTTTAATTATAATTTTCTTTTGTTGAGAATAAATTTTTAAAGAATTGTTATTTAAAAGCCAAGCATATTCTCAGTTTCTGTTTTCTGAAATATTTGATGAGATACTTTTTTATTTACATCCTTTAAAAATTTTTATTTAACCTAACTGAGCATTAGATTTTAAATAACATAAATTTCAGTTAAAATAATTTTTACCCAATTATTTTAAGTCAGCCTTTATATAGATAAAGTCTTAAGAGGGGATTGAACATCAGTTTTATACAGACATCTGTATGTACACGCATATGCCTAAATCTAATATAAATGTTTATTTTTAACATAGGAAACAATAAACTTGGAGGACAAGACTTCAACCAGAGACTCCTTCAGTACTTATATGACCAGATTTATCAAACATATGGCTTCCTCCCTTCTCGGAAAGAGGAGATCCACCGATTAAGACAAGCTGTGGAAATGGTCAAATTAAACCTGACTCTTCATCCATTGGCACAGATGTCAGTATTACTCACAGTGGAGGAAAAAGGCAGGAAGGAACCGCATAGTGACACTGAACTGCCAAAGGACACAGTTTCCCCACCAGATGGCCACCATGTGGACAATACACTTGGAGCTGGCCTGTCTGAAAAGAGCGGAGAAAATCAGGTTTTATTTGAAACAGAAATATCACGGAAACTCTTTGACACCCTTAATGAAGATCTCTTCCAGAAAATACTAGAACCCATTCAACAAGTATTAAAGGATGGCCACCTGGAAAAGACTGAGATTGATGAGGTGGTTTTAGTTGGGGGCTCTACTCGTATTCCCCGAATCCGCCAAGTCATTCAAGAGTTCTTTGGAAAGGATCCCAACACATCTGTAGACCCTGACCTTGCAGTGGTCACAGGAGTGGCTATCCAAGCAGGGATTGATGGAGGCTCTTGGCCTCTCCAAGTCAGTGCTTTAGAAATTCCCAATAAGCACTTACAAAAAACTAACTTCAACTGAATGATGGACGATTCATCATTATTTGTGATCACATTTGATGACTTTTTTTCTTTTTATCAGATCACCTTCTCTAAAACAAGTCTCTATCTAAAATATCTTAAAAGTTGGTCTAGAAGGCAACGTTTAGTTATGTGAAAATTTTACATATCATTTTGTTCAGGATCAGATGTGACCAGATTAATTCTTATTTGATTTGGTGAGGTCCCATTCTAACAAGTACTTGCTAAAATGATAGATAAAATCAATGTAAAACTCTTATAGAGGAGCATGAGTGGATAATCTTTTTTGGATTCTAGAAATGATAACGGTTAGATCTCAAAATTATATTCTGTAGAAATTAAATGGTGATAATTAACAAGATTCCCAGTCCTTACTAAATTGTATTAGCAGGAACTGGTGGTTTATTTACTTGGTTATTACGTGTACTGCTAATTTGAATCACATATATACTGGAAAGACAGTTTTGATGTACTTGGTTGGCTGGGATATAACAGTATTAGCAATATGAGCCACGTATCTAATATTCATTAACTGTCATTGTATGACAGATTTGTTTTCCCAAATTCAGTATGTATCATTGTTTGTTCTATTCAAGTAATTATTATTTTCTAGATTATTTTTATTTATTTTAGAGAACAAGCAGTTTTCGTAAAAAAGTAGCTATAAGTTTATCCAAATGTTTCATTTCCAGGTAATTGTTGTTGTGGTTAAGTGCTGTCGAGTCGATTCCAACCCATAGTGACCCATAGGGTTTCCAAGGAGCGGCAGGTGAGCTTGAAGCACCGACCTTGCAGTTCAAGTGACTTTGCAGTCTGATGCATTAGCTTAGCCCACAGCGCCACACCAGGACTTCTCCAAATAGTGGACATACCCAATTTATATTCTAGTTCTGTTATCTGCTGTACAACGTTCTCTGCTTGAATTTCCATAATTTTGCCTTATTTGAAAACAGTTGAGAATTAAGTGCATTTTTACAATGCGTTAATGTCACAATAAAAGCCTTCATGACTATATATATCTTTGTTATTTAGGACAATAGCAGACATTGTTAATAAGCTACTATATCTGTTTTTTTCCTTTTTGCATTAGTTTATTTTCAGTAAATAGATTTTATCTTGCAAATGAACTATCAAATGATACTTGGTTCAGTTTTACTGAGAATTCCCCCATATTTATTTTTGAATGGAGAAACAGTACCTAGTTTTAAAAGCCCCATCATTATTTCTATTATAATTTTCAAATAATCACATTTAGACTACTTCTGTCTTAAAGTTAGTGTATAATTATAGTTAAAAAAAAAAATTGGTGAAGCATTATGGAAAGCAGCTGGAATCTTAGCATTTGTAATAATTTTTGCCTGTTTCTTTTTAGAAGATGACACAGGGACCAAGAAAAAAAAAGTTTATTTCTGTGATGTCCCACTATATATACATTTCTTTTTTCTTGCTAAAGGCGTACTTCATATTAATATTAAAAAATGCTATCCTGGTCAACATACTTGTTAATGTAAATGATGTCTGCTTTATCCATTGTTGAATATGCAAGTGTGTAAAGTTTCCAATCAGAGAAGATAACTAAGCAAATTCATTTCTATAACATCAAACATTCATTGTAGCTTTTCATAGTAAAAAGCTAAACATTTTTTAAGATTTGTGGACCTAACAAAAATGTTTCTTGGCAACCAAATGCCTGTTGAAACACAAATTTCAATCAAATACTTTTGTGTACAGAGGATGTCTATAATAGGGAGAAAAACGTAATTTGTTGATGTTTTATTTTAGCTCTAATGGAGAAATGCCAAAGATGAATCCTTCACTGCGTTATAAAAATATCTAAGTGTTCTCTTATACTTCATATATCTTTAGCAAATTTTAGAATTGAGAAAGATTTTTTTGTAAAGGTCTTTGTTGAAGAGTATTCAATTTTTTTTCAGAATCTTGTATATTACCAGTTTTAATTTAAAACATTCTAAAGTTAAAAAAAAATTTTTAAACTTGACTTTTAAAATATTTGACACAGTTAAAGTTTTAACACTTTGTAAACAATTGGAAAACCTAGTTAATCTCGCACTAAAATTGCAGTTTAAATCATTTGAAATACGGAATAGCAGTGTTGGAATTTGGGGCAGTAGTTTAGCATTTTCTCTAGTATACTTCTGTCTTTAAAAGATGGAATAATGTCTGTCTTCAATCATATTTTAGGAACTATATAGAAATAGTCTTGAAATCAGTGTAGTTTATTTAAAAGATAAGAATGCATCCTGAAGGGGAATGATTTATGCATAACAGTCTGGAGACATTTTCACTTAGGATACTTTCATTGTACATTCAGCTAATATTAAAATACTAAATGTCTTATATGATTAGAAAATGTGAACGAGTGAATAATTAATTTTGTATCATAAATGTTTTGGTACTGTGTTTTCACTTAAACCACTGACTTATCAACAGATACTACTCTTGTTTAACATGCATTGTGCAAAACAGATTGTGCCTCTTAAATATGTGTGTATACAGGTAATTCACATTTTAATGTAAATAAATACCATTTTGCAGTTTGTTTTTTAAACTGTGTTTTTCATTTTTCATTCAGGATAGGTTGGAGTGTATTTTTGATGTCTATAAGGAAAGTAGGGATAGAACTAATACGCTTAAGACAACAGACCTTATATAACTACTGATAGTTTCAAAAACATATTTCCCTATAGCCTGACTGGGATAATTTCTCTAACTTAGAAGAGACAGTTTCTTTAACAGATTTATAGTATCTCCAGAATTCTGAAAATAATAGATTTGGGAGCTAAACTAATCTAGAGAGGCAGTAAGTAATCATGGATAATAAACCAATATTTGGTTAATGATTAATATCTTACAATTTTCTAATAAGGTTTGACTAATTGAAACTTTATTAGAAAATTGTAAGATACTCTTTTAAAAGATAAAGATGGTACACTTAATCATCTGCAATATTAATTCATGTGTTTTCTAAATGGTGATTTTACCACCACTACTAAGGAGCTCGGAGTTCTGGCATTCACTCAATGAGTTAATGCGCCAGACTGCAAAGCCATTTGAACTGCAAGGTCGGCAGATCAAGCTCTATAGCTGTTCCTCGCTATAGGTCGGAACTGACTTGGCGACACTTAAGAACAACAACAAACTAAGGAGCTCTGGTAGCGTAGTGGTTATGAGTCTGGCTGCTAACCTCAAGGTTAGCAGTTCGAAACTACCAGCTGCTCCATAGGAGAAAGATGAGATTTTCTGCTCCCATAAAGATTTACAGCCTCAGAAACCCTATACAAAGCTACTGTGAGTCGGAACTGACTTCACGGCATATCACCACCACCACTGAAGAGCTTCTGTTGTGGCATTGTAGGGTACACAGTGGATTACTAACAGTGGAGCATGATATTCTAACCCATTTGGCCACTCCTTGGGAACCCTCTACAAGGTTGCTATGAGTTGGAACTGATTTTAAGGTGTTTAACAACAAACTGAAGAACTCAAATATCTAAGAACATCTAGTGGTATTTCATACACAGTTTCTCAAAATGCATGTGTGTTTCCAGTATGACAATAATCCCCACTTAATGTTCACCTCCCTGTGTAATTTCCCCTTGAGTTTGTGCTAAATAAAATAATATAGTACTAATGAATAATATACTGCAGAAGTGCTGGGAAAGCACTTCCAAGATTAAGCTATTAAAAGAGTGACTTGATTTGGATGCAAGATCTCTCGCTTACCACCTCACTTTCTCTTGGAATCTATCTGCTATGTAAATGAAACCAGGCTATCTTGCTGGTGAATGCAGGTGGAGAAGAAATGCCCTGAAAGATAAGTGGTCCTGTGGAGATTTAGAGACATTCCTTCCTGCAGCCAGCACCAAGGTTCAGCCATGTGAGTTAGCCTTCTAGAAAGTGGACCCTCCTAGTCAAGATTTCAGATTGTACAACTACAGTCAACTTAAAATGCAAACAAGCTCTAACCTGGAAGAATCCAACTAAGCGGCTTCCAGATCCCAGACCCGCAGGAACATGAATATTTTTGTTTTAAACAAGTTGGATTGATTTGCTATACTGTTATATATGACTAATAGAGTACTCGTTCTGTGCTATGCACTGTTGTAAATATTTTGCAAACACTAATCAATTTAGATCTATCAAACTTCTAAATGGGCACTATTCTCATAGGCATAGAGTTGTTAGGATATTTTCTCAGGAGTATGTAACTAAGAAATAGCCATTACTAGAATTCAAATCCAGTTAATGTTTTTAACTCCATGTTGTACTGCTTTATCCACCGTAAAGCACAGACAAGTGTTACCTTTTTTGTTCAGTTATTAAACTGCTACATGTTATTGTTCAGTGCCATTGAATCAGTGCCAACTCATAATGACTCTGTTTAGAGTTTCCAAGAAGCAGCTGGTGGGTGTGAACCACCAACCTTGTGGTTAGCAGTCCAGTGCTTACCCTACTAAGTCAGCTTCTAGATAATATCCATGAAATACCTCACTTGCCAGATGTTAAATATGTATATGGTGCTATTTAATCCTTTCCATTTTTGACCAGCAGGTGTAGAATTTACAGGCTTCTTAAGTATAAAATATAGATAATAGTACCTACTAATTTGAGTTTTTGTGAGTGCCTGAATCACAACATGCTAAATGAGTATTTGCTGTTATGAAGGGCATCATGGAAAGATCAGGAAATAGTAAAGATGCACAGTAACTTGTCAATTTATGTGGTGTTACAAGAAAATATCACAACAGAATAGGTTATTATTTTTCCTCACATCCTTAAGAACCTAACCCGTATGACTCTAAAGTTTTTGAAAGTTCTGAGAATTCTGATGAAATATAAAAAATAAATTTTCCTTGGTTTCAAAAAATTGCTAAGTTTTAGGAAGAATAAATGTAATTTTCCTCATATGAAGTTATTTAAATGCTTAAGCAGGAACAAAAGCAGTTAGTTCTATATCTTATCAGCTATTTTTTGAGCTAC